TACATGTGTAAGAAAGTTTATAGACGATGAAAGTCATAGAATTGAACATAAATAACATGTATTATGTATATAAGCATTTCAAGAACTTCCTTTGCCTATATTTATGAATATTTTATTAACGAAACCCCAAAATGTGTTGCGGCAATTCCACAGAGACTCTTAAGTAGTAAAAGAACTTTTCTTGAATAGAAATTTTATTTGATTTAAGAATACGATATTTTAATGTTGCCGTTACTTAAATGTAGTACACTTTTGGGCTTTCTCATTACTTCTCCCTATTGGAGGAATAAAAATATAACATAATTATGAGCCAGGCATAATATATTAATTATTTACTTTTAATAATAAATATTGGAAACTAACTTCGAAAAGGAAGGTCATAAAGGACTAAGATGATTCTATAAACAAAAATCATAATTATTAAATCACGAGGGCTATTCTCGTATAAAATTGTCTGGTCTTAATGTATAAAATACAACGGAAATAATTCAATGAAATGTTTTTCCAATTAGAGTATTTTGAGAAACACTACATTGTTGGAAAATTGTCAGTACAGTTCATAAAATACCATAATTCATTGAAAAACAGCCTGCATTATCGGAAAATCTGTATTCTCCTGGAAATTTTTTAAATTTCAATTACATTTTTAGAAATTTGTTGTTTTTTAATATATTCTTTAACTGCATTCAGAGCAAACAATTTCTAATACTTAAGCAGTCAGAAAATTTAAAGCAATTGAAATAATTTAAGAAAACGTTGCCTACAAATAGGCTTTTTATTTCAAATTTAAAAAAAAAAATGTTGCCTACAATTAGGCAGCATATTAATAAAAGAAATCCAAACTAATAATGTGTACACTTTTTAAGGCTTTTCAAGGTTAAAGCCACTTGTCGATTTGAAGATTTTTTTCGCTACCACACATATCGAACGTATCTCCTATACTTGAGAACATTTTCAAACAATTTTTAAGTTAACCCAGGAAATAGTTTCGGAGTTATGAGTGCATTTGTAAGAATTTTTTAGATTAGTGTAATCGGTTCACAAAAAATTAAACGAGTTTTTCTTGAAACACTGTTTCCAGAGTCGGTGAGGAAAATTACTTCGACCGACTTAAAATTTTATACAACCTTCTTAAATATATTTTTCCAGTAATTATGGAAGGAATAATATTTTTTTTACTCTCACAAATGTTTCTACGATTATTTGTATCCCCTAAAATTAGTAGAGATAGATATAAAGTTTTATATAGGTATATAAAGTATCAGGATGAGGAGACAAGTTGAAATTCGAGTGACTGTCTGTCTGTGCGAGAGAAAACTTGAGTAAGAATTGAGATGTCTTCGTGAAAATTGCTACATATGTTCTTTGTTCCGTTGCGACGCCCACAAAACGCTATTAAACGAAACCCCATAAAGTGCCATAACTAAGCACCAAATTTAGATACAAAACTGTAATTCGGCACAGAGGATCGCAGTAGCAAAAGACACATGTGGACTAAAAATGAAAAAAAAGTGAGAGTGACCCAAACTCTTAATTGGCTTAATATACATATCTTCCAAACAACTGAAACTAATCAACGAAACTTACTGAAAAGAAGTATTTATTTTTTTTTTTATACCTGTCAAAATAGGTAAAATCAGATAATAAACACGCAAACTTCCTATATAATGGTTATGTTGAAAACAACTAAAAGAGCGACAACTCACTGAATAAATGAGTCACAAGTATTAAATTTCACAAACAAGATGGTAAAGAGGAGTTTAATAGGGCAGATGGTGTGTGAGGTTATCCAAACATTTCTGTCAATATAAAAGAAATCATAATGAAATTCAGAAAAAATCTATTTTTAATAATAGGGTATCCTCTTTAAATCAGGGCAGTATTCCCTGTAGTCCAGCTTTCACTTTATACCTTATATATTGATCAAGCTGTGAGGTTTCTTAATGAAATTCAAAGGGCATATATTTCTGGTAATGATATATATGTCATAACTCCAAAACTGGACAAAATCGCGTCAAAATATTCCCTAACCCACATATATCTTCTTTAAGAAAATTGATAAGAATTATATTAGAATTTCAAATTTCCGGTTGACTTCAACCACAGCTATTGGTAAATATGTAAAATATCTTAGCAAAGTTAAGTGAAAGTATAATACTTAATATACCAAATTTCTTCAGCTGCCTACATATAGAGATTTTCATTAGTCCAAGTGAAAATGGGATTTTCCATTCTTTGGTTGAACACATAATCAAATTGCTTTAGAAATAAAATAGAGTATTTTATTCACCACATTGGTAGTTACCGCCAACACAAACTCGAGTGTATACCTAGCAAATATAGTAAACTTATAGCACACAAATAATTTCAGAAAGAAATGTATAGCAATTGTGCATACCTTCAGGCACTAGCGCGTTCACTTATATATTAACCACTTTCATTACCCACCACCAGCAAAAGCTGTCACGTACATACTTGTAACTCTATCGCCTTTGTGGATTTTCACGAAGGTGTTAAAATGAAAATACGCCTAACAGTACACTATCAAAGTCAACATTGTTTATAAGCGCATTGCTTTTACCTTTCCAAATAGTGAAATAGACTTTGCCAGTGTAAAGTAGTCAAACGTTGAGCAAATTCTGCAAACAGCTAAAATTGGTAGTGCAATTTTAGGCGCCTAAAAGCTAAATCAGCTATGCGTGTGTGACAGCCGGAGTTGGGATTAGCTCAAATTTCAGCATGCATATCTACTCATTAAAGCTGAAATGAGTTTCACTGAAAATCAAAACGAAGCTTTGCGCATGGTGTCGAGTTTTGAGACTTAAATGAACACAGCCACACACACACATTTGCATGCACACCAACACACACTTCCTACTTTTGTGCGCAATTTCCAAAAAAAGTGGAATTTACAAATTCGACATGACATTTGCTAGCAATTTTGCAACTAACCGAAAGTTGCATGCATACAAACACGCGCCTAAGAGTACGCAACAAACACGGCGACATTATTTCATTTCATTTACAATGCGCCGTAGCCTGAAATTATGCAAATGTGTTTACTCGTATTTCTCTGGCGACCATTTCTTTCGCATACATTCGAATGAGCTCACTCACTGACTGGAGCCAGCTTTCTACCACCCAGTGTTTGTGTATTTGTATATGTGTGCGCTGAGCCGAGCGTACGCAGCTGGCAAACGCAAGCGCTCGCAATCGCATTTCATGCAAATTAGCACTGCAATGCGATAGAAGATTGCAACAAAAACAAAAACACATCAGAATAAAGCATACCAACAACATTAATGTGCGCGCGTTGCCAACAAAGTTTCAGCAGCATCGACAGCAACAATAGCAACAAACATTGTTGCTCAAATAAGCCATGCACAGCTAATTTCGCCAGTTGACTGCGCCATTTGAATGCCAAAGCGCCGCCTCCGCACGCGTCTTCCGTTGACTGCTCGTTTCCTCATCGTTACTCGTTTGTTTTTTTTTTCTTTTTTGTGTAGCCCAGCTTATTTTGCAAATCTGCATTTTTGTTTCTTCTATCTGCAGGCTTTTTGCCTCCACCATGCTTGAGTTGCGCTCTTTCAACAACAAAGACAACGGACGATTTTTCTTTCTTTGTCGTCATGAGCGTTTATCTATCGTTTCAAGCGGAAAATATTCACTGCCCACATTCGCGTTCGTTGGGTCAACCGGTGAAGCGCAAATCTTTCGCGGCTAATAAGCGGCGCTCTTGCTGGTGGCATTGGCGTTGGGCATGGCGTTGAAGGGTGTTGGTGCTGTTGGTTGGTAGCGGCAGCCCTTACGGCTGTTGACATTGATAAATGGCGTTGTCGAATGGGCGAACCTAAGCGATTTGGCGACGGATATTAGTTGTAAGGGATATGCGCCCATTTCCAGTTGGCGAGTGATATTATTCTTTGAAATTTCTGTAAGCGTTGGTGTTTTTAGTAGAGCGATGAGTGTAAGAAGTTAAATTTTATGAATCAAATAAAAACTCAAGGGCTTTAATTGTCCATTTAGGTAGATAGTAAATGTATGGTATTAATTAAATTTGCATTGGAGAAATCTTTCAAGCATTTTTGTGCCACAAAAGAGCGCTCATTCACTCATTCATTCATTAAAGCTACCAACACAACCATACACATATTTAAATTTTTGTGAACCTCAGATGGTGAAAGATCACACATAAACTGCCCAAATCTGCTTCGATGTCTAGCAGCGTAAGATCCGAGGTATGTCAGCCTTGCTGTGGTAAAGGCGGCACATTTTAAAAGAAAGTGTTGAGATAATCTCCCTAGTCATCTTTGAAGCCGCTTATGCAACTGACATCCGGTAAGTTGTTCAATCTTACCGCATAAATTCCGCCAGTGTCCTGTTAGAACTCCTACAAATTCAAAAAGGTAAACTTTGACGAGGACGAAGAGCTTACTAGACCTCTTATGATTTAGCCTGGGCCAGTAGGATTTTGCGACTGCAGTCTAGTGGTTAACTAGCGCTTGCTGGGCTGACTTCCTTATTATTACTAAAAACCAGTCACCAATGTAAAGTAGGCTGCGCTCCAGAGCAGTCGATCTATCTGTACCTTCTTCGAAGCAGTGAAAACACAGTCAGAACTAGGTTCGGCGACCTGGTAATCCAAGTATTTAGGAATCAAAAGAATGAAATCAAAGTGTGCGAAGATTACAGATTGAACATGTTCGCTATAAGCTAAGTACACACACATTGAGAGCAACTCGTGGCCATACAACTTCCTGCTATGTTCACGTGTGCTAAAAGAATTTTTATGAAGGGACTATAAAAATATTTTTAACAAGCGCTCGATAAATTGGAGGTTTAATTTTTATCATTACTTTTTTGTTACTTTTATAAAATTATTAAATTGTTGATTTTGTTGTTGAAATATTTATTGTAATATATGAAATATTGGTATATTTGCAAAATGATTATCTTCATTAATTACATTAGCTTCACATTGTATGATAAATGGGACTTACTTGGATTGTACGGTCTTAAAATTCCTTCCTTTCTAACAAGCCGATATGTATCTGAAAAGAGCCAAATAAAACAAGATGTTATGAGCACAAGAAATATAACATAAATATTAGGGTGGGCCGAAAAAAATAAATACAATTTTTTAAACATTTATAAATATCGTGAAAGGTTATAAAAAATAAGATACTTTATGATTTTGAGCTTTTAATTAGTATAAGAATATAAAAAAATTGCTAAATATCCTTTACGATTTAAGGTCGAACTTTAACCACGCATAACTTTTGAACCAGTCGACTTAGCATTATATCATATGAGAACCTTTTTGCAAATCATTAACTTCCCCATAAGAATTAGTTTTAATTTTAACTATACAGAGATTTTTTTAAATACATTTAAAAGCCAAACATAATAATAAAATATTCATGTAATACGTATGTAAATGGGAAATCAAAAATCACAAATCTTCACCTGCTATTATTAATATTAAGAAATTATACTTTAATTAATTCAGAGAGAATATTTTTCTGATAACAGCATACCCTTGTTTCTTAAATGGATAAAATCGGGTCAATACTTCCTAGCCTCCACATACCTAATCTAAGAATTGAAGAATACATGTTTTAAGAACGTTTTACATAAGATTTCTAAACTTTAAAGCATTTTCCTCACAACTCATGTGGCTCTTATAACTTCGAAACTACTCCAGCGATTTTTTTGAAATTTTTAACCCTATATCCGTACATATATAGTTTATGAGGTAACGCCGACTTCTTCGGTCAAATTTTTTTTCCTTCAAAGTGTTCTAAAAAAATTGAAATTTCGAAAAACGCCCCAGTGTTACCCATTGAAAGTGATTTACTAATGATATAATTCTGATTTTTTGATTTCAGATGAAGAGTTATTAGGAGCACTGCTATTCAAAATTTTTCCGAGACGCTCCAAAATAAATGCTTGTTTTGTCGTATTTTATAATATTTTTATACAAAAATTTATCAAAATACTTTTCAAACATTTTACTATAATGTATTATTGGTTTTTTAAAAATAGATTTTAACTTTTTCATAAAAATAAAATCATAAAAATGGCCTTCGTTTAACACGAATAAACCCAACTTCCCGCTTAAGTAATAATAGTTTGCTAAGCGAATTTAAAGTCAAGGAATTTTAAAAACTAAATAACAAGTAAAAAAAATAAAATGCTGTTATTTTTCTCGCTTCATTTCCCTCTTTCCTCATTTTCAGCCAAATTCGCTGCTGCGGCTGCGCTCATTTCGAAAAGTCAAAAACTGTCTACAAAATAAATTTCTTAATTGCTTTCGCGCACCAACTCAATTAATTATTTAATTAAAATTTTGCAATTTGACAAGGCACGTGCATAAAACAAAGCCATATAAAGCTGACGAATATTATAAATAAATGAAAAGCAAATGCCTTAAACAAAACACAACCAACACAAAAATTTAATTTTTCCGCAACTTATTTGGCCTTACGGGCAGAGGCGTACGCACAATGGCACGAAATTTAAATTTTTTCAAATCATAAATTAAGAAAAAAAGAAGCAGTTTCAGTAATTTTAAGAGTGAAAATGCAAGTATTTTTAATTTTTTTTAACTTCCCGCTAAGAAAATGGAAAATTTTCTAAAAATCGGGAAGATATTGGTTTCACCCCATTTTGCAAAAATCGAGTTCTCAACAGATCTCGACGTTCTGAGGGTCGAGGAAGCTTCCCCGAACATTTCTACGATGATGTCCGTATGTCTGTATGTATGTGTGGATGTATGTGTGTGTGTGTGGTTGTATGTGACCCTCTTATAACTATTAAACTGCTCAACCGATTTGAATAAACTAAACGGCATTCCAAAGGGTTTCATTGCACTTGAATTTCGTGTAAGTTTGGACCCAATCGGACCAGTAGATTTCGAGAAATCTCAAAAATAAAAATTTTGAAAAATCGTTTTTTTCGAATTTTTTTCAAACGACTTGACCGATCGACACCAAAAACTAATCAGTTCTAAACCTTGAAGAAACACATCGTTTGCCGCAAACCGGGTCGAAATCGGTTGATTTACTTGCTAGATATCGAAAACGAAAAATTTCGAAGAGCTCAAAAGCAGTGAAAAAAGTGAAATTTGAACGTTAGCGTATGAATTTAGAGGGAAGTTGCAGGGATGGCCCTTGAGGCCAACCGTTTTCCACATTTTTTGGAAATATGACGAGGTAAAAATTTCTTGGAAAATGATATATTTCTTAAGAATTGTTTCTATTGTTGTATGTCATAGAAAATACTCAATATTTTTAAATTTTAAAAAAAGAAACGAAATAAATATATGTATGTAATATATACGTACATGCACACATAAATATATGTACCTATCTCCACATGTAGGCAATTTATATATATAAAACTATTTTCAACTTCGTTGCACTTAAAAACTTTGGTCTGAAACACCGGCTTCGCTCACTCAGTCAATCAAAGTGACCACAAAATTAAGTTTCCCCATACACACACATATAAGCAAAGGAGTACAAAAACATAGCATACATATATGTGCTCATATGAGCTGAAATAAAACTGAGTTTTTGCATGTAATTCCAAATTCAAGAAGGAGATTTACTAGCGGAATAATGCTCATTTAAACCGAATTTTACATTTGTTGTTATTGCACGTGTGTTTGCTTGCGTGCGATGCTCGATTCTCAGCTCACCACAAAAGTACGCTACATTTCGCATAAACCGCAAACCGCAATGGGTAATATTTTATTTGTGTATACAAATTTAAAATCAAAAGTTATTCGGAGTTTGAGATTTTTCCGCCTATAAAACTCGATGGCTCAATAAGCATACATTTTTCAGCATAAGGGTGGCACTTATGTAAATGTAGAAGACTCACTTTGAGTCCCCGTCTCCATTAGGAAGAAGATGTTTCAGAAATAAAAAATACCATAAAATTTATACATATACATATACATATGGTCAAAAACATTAAAATAGTAGTATAAATTAAGGGTATAAAAAAAAACTTTTTTATTTACCTAAGGGGCTCACTTAATGTGAAATTTAAAAATAATCGATACTTTTTTTTATAGTTCGATAGCCGTAGCTTTAAAAATAAACTCATTAAATTTTAAATTGATATCTCAAATGGTTTTTTCCTTATAGCCTTCTAAACTTTAGCCGCTCAGGCCAAAATTTTGAATAGAATACAACGCTTTGTTTAAAAATTACACCATTTTGTCAATGATGTTGTTTTTTTTTTGGCCGTGGGTCATTCTTCGGAAAATATCTTCTAATAATGATTTTTATTTAGGTTTTATACTCAGAGTAAGCCGGAATCACTGCAGATGTAGGAAAACTTATGTTTTTAGCGCCGTTGGAGATGGCGTGAAACTCGAAAAATATTTTATTTTCTTCTTCAAAAATTTTACTTAAAATTTGAAAACAATTGATTAAATTTTTAGGGTGGCACAGGTGATAGGCGTACTCCTTGACATGCATTCGTCCAGCCTTATCGAACGAAAAGTTGATTAAACTTGAAAATGATTCTGATTAGTATAGTGATATTAGTAAATTTGTTTTTAGGACCACCATAATTAAACTAAATTTTTTGTTAAGAGCGTATATACTGTCTTTTGATTGAAATGTTTGTAAGCTATACTTCGTGGCGGTACTTATAATTGTGGGAACGAGACTAAATAAAACATTAGTTGTTAGTAGGACCACCCTTATGTGCATAATGTTTTGTAACTAACTTTTTTTTCTTACTTTCTTAGCCACACATTTTAAGCTTATTGAAAATTTTTGAAAGTTTTTTTTTTTATAAAAAAAATTTTTTTCTTATAGTTAAAAATTCTTTTGAAAATTAAAGGAAATATTATTTAGAATGTTTTTGAAAAAATTTTACTTTGAAATTTTTCGAAAAAAATTTTCTTTTAATTATATTTTTTTAAATAATATATATTATTATATTATATTTGAAAATTGAGTAAAATGAACTTTTGAGATTATATAACTTATTATATATATATAATACCTATATGTATATATATATTGTCAGTATATGTAATTTAAGTAGCCCTCATTCATATGCATCACATATTTCTTTTATCTGAATGATTTATTACTATATATTTTCGTTTATAAACGATACAAAAAATTGTACTCTTAATTTCCCCACATTCCCTCAGTACACTTCTTGTATTCATCACTTAAACCACACACTTCGTACTCATTGTGCTGCCAAAATTTCCTTCAGCCAACCTTTAATGGCTCACTATACTGCAGAATTTTAAATACTTCCGTCACTTGCCCGAGCGCCTAAAAGCCTACTGCACTTAACCACGCGTATTTTATGCATGCAAATGGTCAGCACACTTGGCAAGCCTGCATTGTGGATAACTACAACTCCGAAGTATTTAACAGCAGAAACAACAAATACTAAATGCGAAGTATTAGCAACAAAAGCTAAAACACAATGTTGATGAAAATATTAGCAACAACAGCTGCCAGCGTTGACATTTGCCAAAAGAAATGTACAGGAACCTTCTGCCGCCGGATTGCCAACTAAATGACATTACTTTTTATGTACAATCATTTTGCAATTGTTTTTGTTTATCTTTATCATTATTGCTATTGTTTGTGCGTGGCAGTGCAGACAATTTGTTGCCAGCACGCACTGGCACTTACTATTTAGGATTGTCATTGTTGGCTAAAAAGCTGGAGAAAGATATTTTAAAGGTCATTCGAAGGCAGGAAAGAATTTCAACCCATTCAAAGCTGAACACACAGTCAAACATACAAAAGAATGTGGATGCTTCATATGTATGTGTGCTCGAATTTTTTGTCTGGTTTTTTTTTTATTTTGAAATTGACCGGACCACTTTTGGCCCAATATTAGATTTTTTTGTTGTGCTTCGCCTCAGCTTGAAATTGATAAAGTGAGTGAAGGTCATTTGCCAAAGCGTTTGCCAAACAGCTTCTTCTAAATTGAACGTAAATGACATTCAAATCTAAAGCTCTATAAAATTTACTTTACTTTTTATTTTATTTAATAAATT